TCCTCCTCCTCTGCTTTTATATTGTGACTAGTTTATAATGAAATTCAAACACTTTGCATGATTGTAATTACAGTACAAGGTTATGTTTTGTTCGTCAGCTGACTCAGTTCCAGAAACTTGATTAGGAAAGCGTCAGTCAGTCAGTCAGTCAGTCAGTCAGTCAGTCAGTCAGTCAGTCAGGAGCGGGGTGTTGATTATTCCCCACCGCGTGTGCATTAGTGATGCTTCAGCCTCTGAATCCTCCTTTATAGCGCATCAGATTTATTTCTGCCGCTGTTTAAAGTAACACGCATTGACAATCCCTTCATCAAATATCTGATAGAGGACCGGGAGAGCTGACAGTGTTCATTCAGGCACTGAGGACATGTCTGATTATATAATAAGGAATATTAATCCACATACAGATGAGTCTCCTGACTGATTTCCAGTGGAGTTTTGGCTGGTAACGGCTGTAGTGTGTGTGCTGTACCACTGTTTATACTGCAGCTCTGATGAACGCTTGATTCTGATTGGCTGATACACACTTTACAGTGTGTGTCTAGATCAAAGCACAGCTAAAGTAGTTCCGGCAGGTTTAGAGCGCATTACAGCTGCATAAAATTAGTGTTTACTTCAATTAATATTTATAGTTCTGTTCTCCTATAATTCTTTTTTTTCCAATTATTTTTTAGGGATTTTTTTAGGGATATAGACAGGAAAGTGTGGGGAGCACAGATGGGGGAAGGATCAGCAAAAGAACCTCGAGACGGGAATCGAACTCGGGTCAATGCGAGCACCTTGGTGCCGCGTCAACTCACTAACCACTGGGCTATTGGCGCCGACATTCTCCTATAATTCTATAATGATAATTTTATGGAGCTGTAATGCATTTAAAACCTGCCGGAACTACTTTAGTGCCTTTATCTGACCATAACCAAACACCTTAGAGTGCTCTTAGCCAATCAGAATCAAGCATTCATCGATCAGCCAATCAGACTCAATCATTTATTTAATGGTCAATCAGTATCTAGAATTCAACAGCCAATCAGAATCAAACCTTCATCAGCCAATCAGAATCTAGCATCCAGCAGCCAATCAGAATCAAGCCCTGGTCGGCGCAGTACAGAGGTGATCACCGGTGCTCGTGTGTTCAGTGTTGTGGGGTTGATTAGTTTTCCTCACCCTTGACGTCGGGGTCGTCGATGTGCGGCTCCAGGTTCTCGATCAGCTCCTCCAGCTGTCTGCGGGCGAGCGGTGGGGCAGAGGGCCGCTTCTGGGGCCCCTGCAGCTCCAGCTCCAGGTCTATCTGCGGGATGGGGGTCCGCCAGTAGTGGAAAGAGTTGAAGAGCTCCTGCTCCGGGATCTGCTGCTGGGGACCGCTGGGGGACTCATCCTCCTGCTCCGCCGGGCCCCTGACCTCCTGCTGCTCAGCGGGGCTGCTGGGGGTCCTGTCCTGTTCCTCCACAGGGCCACTGACCTCCTGCTGCTGAGAGCTGCCGGTGGTCCTGTCCTGCTCCTGTTCCTCCTCAGGGTCACTGACCTCCTGCTGCTGCTGGGACATGTCCTGCTCCAGGGCTTCCTGCTCCTCTGTTGGGTCCCTGACCTCCGGTTCCTCCTCCGCCGGCTGCTCTCCGCCGCCCTCCTCCGCTACGTCTGGCTCCTCACACCCCAGTGCATTGTGGGAAACACACAGGAGCGGCGTCTCGGAGCTGGGAGGTGTGTGTGTGTGCGTGCTGCAGGAGGATACACACACACATTTGACTTTAACCATGGTATTTGTGCTGAAACTGTAGCTAAACAAGAGGTGGTCAATGCACTGGAAACACACCGGTACAAAACATGACGCTGGTGTTGTGGTGTTTCAGACACACTGATGGATTTAGCACACACTATTATTATTATTATGATGATCGTTTTAGGTTATCTTGTGCTGCTCTAATTTCCAGTTCTGCCATCATACACTGTTGTAAAGTTTGATTTGTGTGTGTGTATGTGTGTGCTGACCTGAGTGTGCTGGAGTTCCAGTCGGCTTCGTCTCTGAAGAACTGACCCGCTGCACTGCTGGAGCTGGCGAAGGTAGAGATGAACTGACCCAGAGACTGGAATGCCGCCTGACGGACCTGCACAACACAATTACACCTACAGTATAATAATAATAATAATAATAATAATAATAATAAGTTTCATATCATAAATCATATCTAGAAAATAATGCACTATCCTATTTCAGAGGGTAAATCTGAATAAACTGAATAACCCTTACTCTTGCTGAACTATTTTATGTACTAAACTTGACAAAAATAAACAAACAAACAAACAAAATAAACCTAAGTAAAAAGTGTAATTAAAAAAGTAAAAATTTAAGTAAAAAATAAACAAAAAAAGTTTATAAAAACCTACAAAAAAATAACACAAAAAGGTAGTGTAAGTAATTTAAGTAAAGTAATTAAAAAAAAAATAATTAAATTAAAAATTAAAACGCAAAATAAATGTTTTTCTAATAAAATAAACAAAAAGTCTAAAAAAAAAACAACCAAACCAAGAAAACGATAATAATTAAATTATTAATTAATAATTTTTAATAATTAAATAACATTTTGTGAAAAAAAAGGATGGGGGGGCAGCATGGTGGTGCAGTGGGTAGCCCAATCGCCTCACACCAAGAAGGTCTCTGGTTTGAGTCTCGGCTGGGTCAGTTGGTGTTTCTGTGTGGAGTTTGCATGTTCTCCCCGTGTTGGTGTGGGTTTCCTCCGGGTGCTCCGGTTTCCCCCACAGTCCAAACACATGCGCTATAGGGGAACTGATCAACTACACTGGCCGTAGTGTATGAGTGTGTGTGTGTGTGTGTGTGTGTGTGTGTATGTGTGTGTGTGAGAATGAGAGTGTATGGGTGTTCCCCAGTGTTTATTTCTGGCTCATTCCACTGTGGAGACCCCAGAATAAAAGGGGCTAAGCCGAAAATAAAATAAATGAATGACTGAATTTGTAAATTTTTTTTTTTTTTTTTAAATAGTACAAATATAAAAAAAATAAAAGGAAAAAATGCAAAATAATAAACACACTTGAAGCATATGATGGCAGGTGTGTGTGTGTGTGTGTGTGTGTGTGTGTGTTACCCAGCGCGAGGGGTCGCTGATCAGACTGATGAACACCGCTGACAGCTTGCTCCGCCGCACTTCTGGAGACGAGGCTGAGGAGACGCTCATGAAACACTCGGCGCAGGCTTTCCTCACGCCCCACACATT